AAACGTTGAAGCGAATAGTGTGGAACTGTAAGGAACCTTAGTGAATATGTCTGGCATTTACCACATGTCCATTGTATTTTTATAGCAGTTTATCGGTAGGGAGAGGATATCGTCATAAAAAAAATTCAAAGTTGAATGGGAAAAAATATCATATTATCAAGCTATGGCCACAAACAACAAGGAAGTCAACAGAGTGATTTACAAGATGTGTAAAGATCGCTTCACTTCAGTGTAGAAGTTACACTTTGAAAAGGCTATAGAGTTCATCTCAGATTTTTAATTCTGACATGAAAATCCATTTCTAAAACCAATAGACTTCGTAAAACAAGTTCTGCCCTGGCATGATCCACTAAGAGCGTAAATCAACAGCATTTACAAAAAGACTCGTTACTGACAATAAATTCCGTATTCTGCATGTCATTTTCATGTTAGTATATTATTAAATCTAAAGTAGATACGTAATATATAGTTAAGAGGAGATTTGTTTAAATTAAAATATATATCGAGGGGGGGGTCTAACGCTATGAAATTACTAGAATTAAGGCCACGAAATAAAGACTACTGGTCAAATCAGCGGTAAATACACGTATTTATCAGCTGTTTGAATATACCTTTACACCTAGGTATGTGCAGCGCTTGTTAGAGTTCTTGTTCACCCGTTCCAGCTGTCTAGCGAATAGATACCTCATATCAAGGAATACTTGTGTTAGTTATACGACTACGCTTTTTGCTTGTTTCTTTCTTTCTTTCTTTTTAACCGACAGGACACTAACATGCAAAATATCTGCCATATATCAGACAGAAAATAAACAGAAAGCAACTTGCCTCCTAGCCACTTCTAAGAATTCATAATACTAGGAAACTCGTTCGTCAATTAGGTACAATTACAATCAACATGTCGACCAAGCTATTATCTGCTTCTGCACTATATAAATTGTCTGAATTTATGAAATAAAGTTAACTAACCTGTGTTTTCACAGAATTACATTTCCTCTTCCGCTCCACGTGAAGTAAGTAAGAATGGTTAAATCCTGCTTGAGTAGTCACATCTACTTAAACCTGCGTCATGGGTCATCCGTGTTTCGTTGTGTGTACATGATCGCACAAGGAAGACCTGCCACTCGAGCTAAAAATAACCTACCGATTTGCAAGAGGAGTTAACTCTTGCACATAGATACAATATATAGACGGTAAACAAAGATCTACAGCCGTACATGACTTGAGTATTTTTTTTTAATAGGTTTATAGGGATGAGTGCGCATGTTTGGTAGTAGTGGTTTTATCTTTACGCCTTTGATTATCGCATCGCCTATGAAAGCTTAAAAAGAAATATGAAAGCTTAAAAAGAAATGAAAATGTATAATCTAATTAAAATTAGCCTCTCTCCGTACAGTATTATGAGATGAAATGTAGGATGTATTAAACACGTATGAAGTATATATATACCATAGCAGGTGTGTGTTAAAAATGAATGTTTAAAAAAATCATGTGCTGCTCACCCTTGCATTTATTACCAAAAAAAAATGTATAAAATCGTGAATTTTGCAATGCATGTATTAGCAAAGTGTAATGAAGGTTTACGTTAATGCTCAACCCATCAAAGCGGTGAACATTTACAAGCTATTTTCTTTATGAAAGGTGAAACACAATTATACTTTTAAAAAATCACAAAAATAATATAAGATAGACTATTTCTCTCTCTCTCTCTCTCTCACACACACACACACACACACATACACATACACATACACATACACATACTTGCAATGCTTGCAAAATCTAGGCAATTATGAGCGTATAATATACAGCGTTCGTATCTCACATTCAAAGATCGAATACATAAACTATGTGTTCTACTTTACAACATGTATTTTTAAATTCCATGGCTGACTAGTTTTGCTGGTTACGTTTTATTAAGAATAGAAAGGAACAAAAAAAAAAAACTAAAAAAAAACAACAAAAAACCCCGCACAAACCAAAGATTGACTTTATAGAAAGCATTAGGCCCGGGACTGTTAATGTAGATTTCTAATGCGCTCTAGATTATTTAATATCAACTTTTTTCTATAATAATTGTATTTATATATAAGTGTATCAGTAATAAACAAGACCTATATAAATAAATACATTACTGTTTTTATACAACAAGGTGTTTCAAACATTACAAAGCAGAATACAATCATTTGATATGCAAAAATTTGGTTGAAAATTCTATACGGATTGAATTCATATTCTTTACTTAATATTAATATATTATGCATGTGTGCGATATTTTACATTCGTTTCCGATGTTCTGCATTTATATCCGGTAGCATCATTTACCGGAGAGATAAATCGTGTTGCACATAATCCATTATGACTAAAATGTACTCTTTCACACAAGCGGCAAGCATGGGATAAAATGCAAATCATCCAACATAACAAAATGTACTGCTACACATGAATGATAAACGTCGGATGGAATCAGTACACAATTAATAAAATCCGGTTCAGTACCCACGAATGTAGTCCCAGTCTATTTTTAGATCACTTTTTCCGGTCTAAATTTGGTGGTGATACTAGAGTCAGCTTTTGGTATTCTTGGTAAGGATTTAAAGGCAATTGTTTATTCTTTAAAATGTGAGCTTATGGTGTGGTTGTCTGTGTGTATTTCGGCGACAGTGCACATTGAGTAATAAGGTCATGGTGATGATCCGGAAGTGAATTCTGTGTTCCGTTGCCTGGTGTTTTGTTTACAATTCAGCCTCTCAAAAAAATGCAGGTCAACCCTTGACAAGAACTAAACCGTAAAGTCATCTTTGAAGGTTTTTTAGATTAACATATGATTTGTATTGATTGTCACACAGTGGAAAGTTCAGTACTGAGAAAGAAATGTAGAGAATATATAGTGAAATTAATTGTGTACTATGGCCTGTCAGTAAAAACTTGAAACTGATATAAAATTTTTATTATTAATGACATACACATGAAATTTTAACAGGTTATGTATATTGACTTTAAAAATATAAAAGTGAAATTAAAAATAAAAAATAATTTTAATTTTAAAAATTTTAATGAAATTTAAAAAAACAATTAAAAAATTAAAATTTACCACCAAGTATACACATATATAATATTTATTTGGAATGATATGAAAATATATCAGCATATATATACTCCTACACCATATACAAGCTCAAATGATGGATATTTGTCAAATTTGATCAGAGAAAATATCTTTATAAGTCAAAATGAGACCCACATTTAAAATACATGAAGACAAAATTCTACTTTGCTTTGTACATAAACAAATGTAGAGAATATATAGTGAAATTAATTGTGTACTATGGCCGGATACAATGCAAACTATAATCAAAAATTTACTGGATATGACTTACATTGAATATGAATAAAAATTATTACATGCACAAAAATAATTATCGAATGAGAATGAGAAATACTGGATGTAAATGGTAAATTCTGAATGTAAATGCAAAATATTAATACAGTTTTATTAGATATGAATGAGAACTTTGCATAAGAATACATCATATTACATATAAAAGGTAATTGTCGCATACAACATCAAACTATATCATATTTCATTCAGACATGAATTTAAAATGAAAAGTACTGAATATTAATTGATTTTTATGTTAATTTATAAGATTTGACGCTCCATTGTTCACAAGTAAAGCTTGGTGCTGTTAAAATGATGTTAGACAATCTCAGTCAGATTTGGCAATGGCAATATGTTGCCATTTTCCAGTCCTTCCTTTAATGTCAGTTATGAAGATCAGTCTTTAAACTGAATACCTTCCTTTCATAAACATGGCAAGGAACACAAATGCCAATTATATAACTGGACTCTAGTACACGTTTGGAAACCGTTTATAGTTGTATTATGAAGGCATATCATATCAAGTTACGGTTGCATTGAGATGCCAAATAAAAATTCAAAGAACAATACAAAGTCAAGAACTTGGACTGCAAATTAATTACTTTATGGATCAAACTACGTCTATTTTTACAGGGTTTTTTTTGCAATAAACACCAAAAGCCTCGATATTGATTTGTAAAAGGACACCTCTTATCCTATCGCTTAATTAACCGACAAAATATGGATGTTGAGGCCAAGTAAGGAAGAACAAATCGGCACGTCAGTAGGTGTTCTTGCAAGTAAATTCCATTTATAAGTTTTGGCATTCTTGTTGTCTTTCAACACATGAATATGTTGATAATAATGAATTCAGGATGTAGTACTACGAAGTTATTTGAAGTAAACAGTGCATGAAGAAAATATGATTAGAACATTTGCCTCGCCGGTGGTGTTCATGTGACGATTAATAATATAAGGTCATGATAAATTGGGTATAAAGGTATCTCGTTTTCTAACTAGTGCATGGATAAGTATATTAATTTAAATTCACTTTGATATTCGATGGGGTACATTTTCTTGGAGCACTGACTCTGCACATCTATCCAAAATACTATTAAGTTCATCAGTTACATCTACAGGGCTTTATGGTGCATGTATGCTCGAAATTTGTCTTTTCGCGGTCCCTCCATTTCTTACGTTCAGAACAGATCTTCCGAAAGTCATGAGCTTAAAGATAGAAAAAGAAAACTTTCAGAAGATTAATAGTTTTCACGTGAAATTTATTAATTTAAAAAAAATATACGGACAGTTTGATTTTCTTATTAAGTTTCAATTAAAATGTTATTAAAACATCTTGCAGATTTTATAAGTTTAATTTTGATTGTGGGTATGTGTGCGTTTGTGCGTGTGATTTAGATTTTTAGCATAGCTTTAACAATTTTTCTGTCATATCGCTACAATGTCTGCAGCGTGACAGTTTATAGTGATGTCTAGCACTGTGGCATCATGCCGAAGACATGTGGCATGATGTCCCACCCAGTCACATTAACCTGACACTAGGCCAACCGGTCTTAACACTAACCTCTTAATGCTGCACACCAAGCGAGGCAGCCGTTAATGCCATTTTTTAAAGTCTTTGGTATGACCCGGGCGGGGATGGAAACCGCGGCCTTCCGCATCCGTTGTTGACGCTCTAACCACTAGGCCACCAGAGCGGTCTAATTTTGAATAAAGAATATCTTTGCGGTTTAATAGTTTATGATATTAATATGCTTAAGGCCCGAAAAACTCGAATGTCCTCACTTGCCGAGATCAGTTGTTTAATTCATATGGTAAAATTCTAGTTATCAAGAGTCACTGTTTGTTGTTTTGTTTCGGGGTGTGGGGATTCAGACCGATTTATCAATCTTCGTTGTTATGTCACCTTCAGTATTTAAATGTAGCTGATTTTGCTCAAGATCAATAAATCATTTTTTTTTTCAGACCATCCACCGACTTTTAAGTTTATGATTCTTGAAATAAGGTAGGGATTAGGACCAAGCAAACGGAAAAGTTTTACTTACCAAAATATAGCGTTCTTTCGGAATGAATGATGGAAGAAAATGGAAATAGAGCTATGACCAATATGTTTAAGTTGAGGATGTTGTACGCCCTTTGGTCGCCATGGAGATTCCTCGGGTATGACGCTTTTATCCAATTAATTTTGGGCACAGTATAAACGTGTATTCAATCAATCAGTATAATACCAAACATTTCAAGCGTGCCTTATTTTACGCCAATATCATAAAACTAATTAACTATTTCAAGATTTAAACTTTAAATTTTATTTAAAGTCCTTAAGCAGCCCATGAGGTTATCCATATAATCGAGAAAAAAGAAGGTACAATATATGAAAATATATAAAATATTGAAATGATAAAACAAAATCATTAATAACTTAAACGAATACCTACAAATATACAAGATCAAAAGATACATATTAATTAAAAATAAAGTAATAATGCGTATGCAATAAAATTTTTAAAAAATACAAATTTGCTAGAAGAAAAGAAAATAAAAAGAGAAAGAAAACAACTTAAATAAAAATAACTCAGCTACACACTTACTGTATGAAACTTGCTAATATTTAAGATATAATCATAAATTGTAAATTTGTTTAAAAGAGCTATAGAGAAACTTTTAAAGTTACACAAAAGGACCAATCTTCACAGGTCCGATTGGATGACAAAGAAGATGGTACAGAAGTCTAGTTGTAGAACACTTCTTCTCCCGTGGTCACAATATCAGTGATGTAATATTTATTGCAATTGCTCACTTCCAAAATGGAGTTTCGAAACCAGTAAATTCAGGAATCTTACAGGATACGACACCTTAGAACACTGAAAACAGACGATTAAAAAAAACCCCCAGAGGACCAGACAAAAAACAGCCACGAACAAATAAGTCATCATCTTTTTACAACCGCATGGGCAACTGCAGGATATTTTTGTAAGCGGTGGGTCAAGATTATTTGCGGGGGGGGGTGTCAGTCAGTCACGGCCGGGAGAGTTAGTATAGTAAGCAGTCTGAAACTAAAGCTATTATTTACTAAGCGTTTAGAAAAATAATCTTTTGACCTATTTTCAGCTTAATTGGCGTGATTACACCCCCTCCCCTTCTTTGACCTATGCTGCGAGCGCCCATGTGCTGCCGGCGCATTTCATTTAAATAATTCTTTCACTTACCTTATTAGTCACCCAAAACGCAACAAATACTACTAACACAAAAAAAATCCATTATAAAATAGTTACGCAAATTTAAGTAAAAAGAGATGACAATATGATTCATCGATTTCTAGGTCAGTATAAATATTTGTCAGCATCTGCATCAAGATGAAAGCAACTAATTGCAACATTAAAACTTTCTAGCTTTTATCCGTGTAGAAATATTCATGGCAAATTTTGTAACCTCCGCGCCTTTTCTATATTTTTATTATTTTCTTCTGTTTTGTATTTGCCTTTTAAAAGATTTATTTTACTCATATAATGGCACACACTGTCGTCATTTCGCTGTCGTCAAAAACGACCTTGGACAAAGAATAAAAACTACCTGAATGATTGAATGGTAATAATTGAAGCTGCGGGGGTAGTGCTGGAATTCAAATTTGTTATATACAAATCAAGGACTGACATAATGTACATGAAACTCCGCTTAACTTAAACCTCTATATACTTTGGGTTACTTGCGAGAATACGTATATAAATATTGCCCAAGGTGTGGACAACCATGGATACGGTTTCCTAGTTGATTTACGTTTACCCTAAAACACATTTGCTCCACTGGTATGTAATCTGTCGATAGCTGACAGTGAGATAATTATATATGTGAGATTTTAAACTTGTATAAATAAGACATGTAAAATTCATATAAAATTTTCAATATATGGGGTTATATATGGCTTGGTCTTTACAAACCTGTGCCGGAGTACAAAGAATGACAACAAGTTTACTTGTGAAGTCAAAGTCTTCAATGTATTTCCTGAATTTTTCGGTATTTTCGTTTGCATAAAGCATTTGGTGTATTGATCTATATTCTAACACGATCTATGAATAAATGGAACAGCATACAAAGCAAATACCTATAAATGGATTTTTTAAACACGAATAACTGAATTTTTTGTTACTAAACTTGGCACAATATCCGAACTCACGTTCCAATTTAAAATAACAATACTTCGTTAAGAGAGTATTTTGAATCAAATATAATTTGAGATCATCTTAACGCTTTTATCTATATGATTATATACATAGCGTGCGTGCAACATGTATTTTTATCTCCGGTTTTAGCCTTGTTATATTTTAGTGATTCTTTTTATTAATTACAGTGAGTCGGTATGCGAAGATATTTTCAAACTGAGTAATAGGCCAATTTGCAGGAGCATACGTCATACTGTACAAACTGGCTGCATGAGTCAGTTTCCTAAATGGACCTTACTTAAGTTCATAGAGCAAAGAATTATTCGGATATTTGAATGTGTAATCTATTAGTAATTTAGTAATCTGAGATAGGAATATTTCTTTATATTGTGTTTTGGGGTCATGTTTAGTATTGCGTAGCGTAAAGTGCCAGTCTTCAACTTGGAAATCTTACTGATGGTCGTACCACAAGTAATTACTTAATTGTCTGATTTTAAAGTATAATGACCATTATGGATGGGTACTGTTTCTCGATGATAATGTTAAGGTGTACCCAGCCGGGGAAACGGAACTGAATTTCAGTAAATGCAGGTAGAGTTACTGTTCTTAGCATGACGTAATTGATGCCAGTCATAAGGATTCACAATACTAATTCAGAAATAGACGTTCGTTTCTCACATCGGCCAGATTACTTGTCATCATATATTTAAATTTCAAGCTTTACCAAATTTGATGAACCAGTTTTTGAAATTACACACCGTTATTAGCATCCTATTAAACACATCCAGGTTTAGTAAATGACAGTTTAATTAGTTTTAAATAGCGTCAGCCTTCTCAGCCAGAGAAATGTAACTGAGCTTCAGTAAACACAGGTGGAGTTACTGTTCTTAGTATGACTAAAGTGGTGTCGGTATTAAGTAATGACTACTACTTCAAGCAGATTGTAAAAATATCTTTGAATAACAGCGTCGTTTCAGAAGATCAGTTGTATAACTTTGGTCAAACATAGCAATGGGAGATTTGAGATTTGAATTTTTTACCATAGCATTAACAATATTTTCAGTCATATATATAGGCCTACGATGTCTGAAGTGTGATAGTTTTTAATGGTGTCTAGCACTGGGACATGATGTCCTACCTAATCACATTATACTGACATCAGTCGTAAAACTAAACACCAACCAGAACAATCCTAACACCTACCTCTTAATGCTAAGCGCCACTGGAGACAGCTTGCAAGTACTATTTTTATAAGTCTTTGGTATGGCTTGGTTTGGCTCGAATCCGTGACCTGCATCAGAGGCAGACGCTCTAACCAAATAAGCCACATGAATGGTTTGGAGTAATTGTATTACTGAATGAGAGCATGCTTTCAGGACACCAATTATATAACTTGTGCAAACTTAGCAACGGAATAATTACTTTATACATTTATTCTACCAATCCAAGCAATCATAAACCGGAAAGAAGGAAATATACAGGTTTCATGGAATGCATAAATGAATACGTCTAAATAAATTAAAAATAAGGCAAGCAAGAAGTATGTTTTTGAAGAACAATTCAGGACACAGAAAAATATTTCATATTTTAAAAAAGTAAATCAATACAGTCTATATTTCCTCAGAAAAAGGTACATATATGGGAGACTTCACAAGACATATAGTAGGTACATTGCTTAAAATAATTACTTTTTGTATTATTATGAGGCTCTTACTTATTAGTTCATTTTACGTAGGTTAGAAAGAGACTTGTTTGTTGTACATGTCCAACAAAAGGGTTTAACTCCACTATAATATCAATGAATTACTTGCTAACTACCAAACCACAGCCCATTTGTAAGGTCAGAAACTGGGATAGTCTGAATAAGAGGTATTATCTAAATAAGCAATTCTATAACCCTACCACTTTTCAGCCGCTAGAGTAGCTTTAGAAGGACCTTCGCCCAAAATAGCTTACCTGGATGGAGGTACCTACATTTTACCTTAACTATCCGTTTACGGATCGATGAAGCGTAAAAAGAATGGAGACCTAGTTTTTGGGATTACGTGTCGTTAGTAGCATAGGCTTAGTTACGTGTCTATTTACGCTGTTACTTTGTCGATGAATATAGGTGTGCATGAATGTTCAAGACGGGGGAAGAGAGTATGTTTAAGTGGGGTGGGGTAACTGTCTTGTATGACACACTTCTTTCAGTTGGAGTAGTTTCTACAGTAAAATAAAAATAATAATTACTTAAACTTTTGTCTAGTGAAAACTGTGAAAAGGATGGTAAATACTTTGCTTAGTTTCAAAAACGAAAATGGAAAACAATTTAACAATGGCAGGTCACTTGGTAACTGAAAGGTAGTTAATATGAACTAAATTAGATATTTGTTGTTAAATGCAGAACGGAAGACTACTGGGGCTGTGCGGAGAAAGGTAACACGGGAGGGGGCATTTAGTGGTATGAGATGTTTCCAGCAATGTATTTGCATATAGTGGTATGAGATGTTTCCAGCAATGTGTTTGTAGCTGCAGCACCGTGAATTTGACTAAAATAGTGTC